ATAAATACTGATGGGAAAAAAAGAAAATGAAAATGAAAGGAAAGCGTTTAACATGATGCCTGCCTGCCGAGGAGAACCCAGCAGCGCTGGTTATCACCACGATGCAGTGGTCAGGTCCCACTGCCAGGGGTGTGTCGGGAGGTGCGTGCGCTTTAAGTGCTGGGTGGAAAATGCAGGTGAAGAATTCCCCAGCCATGCAGGGGTGCGGAGAGAAGGCAGGCAGGGGGGACAGGCCAGCCGAGGGGCTTGGGCAGACTCACAACGGGCCTCAGAGGCAGGCCCACATCAGGTTCAGCCCGGGTCCCCGTGTGGCCCGTGGGACGGACAGGGCAGTGGTTCCAGGAGCCCCAGCCGTTAACGGCCAGCTCTGGCCGGCTGCAGGGCCGGGTGGAGGGGCGTGTCAGCACCTACCTTTGCACTGGAATCGGTGGGTGGGGGTGGTGAGCAGGAGTCTGTCGGCCATGGGCTCGGGGCTGCTGCAGCGGGCGATGCCAGGCTCCTTGTACCCCGCCTTCACCCACTCCGACAGCCAACGCAGGCTGCAGTCGCAGTGCAGCGGGTTGGTTCCCAGCGCCCTGGGAGGCAGAGCAGGGAGTCAGGGTCCCCCCACCTGCCTGGGCCCACAGGCTCCGTACCCTTGGCCCCTGGAGAAGCAGAGTCTTCAGACTTTGGCTAGATTGGGGGTGTCTGGCATGAGGACCAGTTGACCCCAGGCTGTATCTCTAATCCCTGGAGATGTTTCAACCCTGGTGAAGCCCCCCTCACCTCTGAGGCTTAGTTCTCATGCACCCCACTAAGACAATCCTTAATCAAGTGTCCTGGGCCTCTTATTTCATTATCGGGCCCTCCTGCCCACTGACCAGTCCACTGGAGGACATTCTCTGCAGAGAAGGGCTTGGTGCCCAGCAACACTGAGGGGGTTCAGAGTGCTCCCCTCGCCAACGTGCCGCTCAGGATGTTGAGTATTTTGAGCTGAAGGCACTTGAGAAACGGCTGCTGCAGGGGAGGCTCTCTGACGTCCCCCTTTCTACCTAAAAGGAGGTCACGTTTCCCAAGGGAGGTGCCCCCCCACCAGGAAGAGAAGGGCATTCCTATCATCAGACACTGGGAGGCTGGGAACAGGCAGACCTCCTACAATACCCTGCTCGTCCACTAAGGTTCCCATATATTTGCTGGTCACTGCCCCACAGTAACGGCTCCCACCCCAAGCCCCTCTGTCGCGTCAGAGCCCACAGTTTATCATTCTTTGTGCTGAAAGGTGTGTAAGCTTTGGGCCCGGTGGTGACTTCGGGTCTTCACCTTCCTTGTGAAGATTCCCGTAACAACTAAAAATGGGAAGTACACCTGTGTGCTTTTCTCCTGCTAATCTGTTTACGTGAGTTTAACTCTTAGGCCGGCCAGAACCTACACGCTCGGCGGGGAGGGCACAGCACTGTCCAGAGCCGGTGTCTCTGAAGCGGTGCCTAGGAGGAAAACGCTAGAACCTCTGCCCTTTTAAATCACATCCTTTCACATTTCTGTTTTCAATGTTTTATAATATGCATACATAGCATGTCCGAAAATAATGAAACACACAGAGTAGGCTGCGAAGTCACACATTTTCCCTGGAGGGGTATGGGACAGCTCGGAGTCAGGGCCTCAGCTCCCCAGTGGGTAAGGGGAGGGGGGAGCCTGGGCGGAGAGCAGAGTGCTAAAGGCTGCGTGCTTTGGGGTCAAGGAGAACCTGGATCCGAGCCAGAGCTCGTGACCACCAGCTGTGCAGGCCTCAGACAAATTCGCTGGCCTGTTTCCGTTTCGTCGTGTGTTCTAAGGGGGTACAGATACTCACTGCCGTAAGAAATAAATGAGATAATTCATCTGCAGTGCTGGGCGCAGAGTAAGAGTTTTATGTGAGCTCTTATCTACTACGTGTGTACATTGTTTGCACAGCTGATGGTGCCTTTGGAGGCAGCTGAAGCAGAGAGCACACAGTGTGTGCGATGTGGGTCCACTGTCGGCAAACACGCTCTGCACACAGAATGAACAGCCACTGACATGTGAACAGGGCCGCTGCTAGCCGTGGCCCTAGAATGATGCTCCGTTCTGAGTGGGTGCAAGCCGGGGAGAGAGACATGGCTACTTACAGATGGGAAAGGGATGCCAGGTCATTGAAGGAGCCTTCGGGGACGCTGGAGATGTCGTTGCCATGCAGGGTTCTGCGGCAGAAGCACAGGTGGGGAGGTTAACACCCAGACGGATGTGACTCAGGGCCTCTCCTGGTGTCCCAGGCTGGCCCAGTCACCCTCAGTTTCACCAGGAGCCCCACTGCCGGCAGCAGCAGGTGCCATGTCCTTTGTGGCCAGTGTGTGGATGTCTCCATGCCCAGCTCAGAGGCAGGGACGTCAGGGGGTAGGCGGTTTGGGAAAGAAGAGCATGGACTTTTGAATGGAACAGGAATGGGATGGAACCCTTTTAGCTGTGGAACACTGGGTTAGTTACTTTACTTTCCGGGCCTCTATTTTTGTACCTCCGAAAATGGAGGGCTATCTACCTAATGGAGGCACTGGAGCTTCAGAGGTAAAGTGAACAACCATGGCTGAGACTGTAAGTTCTGCAGCCAGGCTGCTTCCATTCAAACCCTGATTCTGCCACTTACCAGTTGTGTGACTGAGGGCAAAGTTACCACCCTCTCTGTGCCTCAGTTTCTTATTGTAAAATGGGAATGAAAGTAAAAAGATCTGTCACAGAAGGTGGCTGTGGGTGTGTTAATCCATGCAGAGTCTGTCATTTTCGAAGTGCTGAATAATTAGCCTTTACTAGCATTTGTGACGGGGCTTGAAGAATGCCTGGTTCAGATCAAGAGACTGGTTCCCTTTCATTCACCTTGGGAGATTATGGGGCGTGAGAAATGCTATGCTCCCAGCTCGGGTGGCAGAGGAAGGGGGTGCTCAGCTCCTGCGGCAATGCCCGGAGCCTCACCCTCGTCTTAATGGGAAAGGGCTTGGTGTCAGCCACACACACGTGGGCCTGGCGCTTGTGTGCATCTGAGTGTATCTTCTAACAGCATGTCCACGGGGCCAGGCAACCTGCTTGGTATCCCTCACACCTCTCTCCACCCTGCGGTGCAGTAGCTGGGAGCTATTCGCACCTGCAGAGTGGTGGCATATACCGAGCTTTCAATAAACGCCTGGAGAATAGGTCCTGGGGAAAATGGAATGAACATGACTTTGTTGCTCAAGTAACAACACGAGCAAATCCACAACCCATGGATTGTACCCTCCGCTGAAGCCTAAACCATCAGCCGCATACCCAACCCCTCAGCTGATGGCTCACTTTGGGTCTGGCCTGCGAGATGCAAGGTGGGTGAAATTAACTGACACTCAGAGGCATCTTTAGGGACTGCTGGGCACAGACCCCTGTGCTGTGAAGGGAGCCCCGGTAAAATGCAGGGGTGATGGGCATTGACTGTGCAAGTGTGAACAGGACTACAAGCCGTGAATCTGCTCTTTTGTTCTTGTAGCTGATGTTAGCCTGGCTGGGTCTTCAGCTAAAACAGACATGACCTTAATTATACTTAATACAGAACAGAGGCTCTGAGCTGACAGAGCATTGGAGCTAATTCACGTGCCGGTTTCTGAGCCTGGTTTCCAGAGGCTGATTCAGGGGGATGGGGTGGGGCCTAAGAGGCTGCGTTTCTAACAAGCTTTCTGGTGATGCTCCTGGCTCTCCGACCCACGTTTAGTGGCCTTAGGTGGTCATCCTTGTCACCCTGAGCAACCCCTCCTTCCCCTCGCAGGACAGCAGGAAGAGGGTGAGAGTCCTCTGGAGTGTTCAGGTAGCTTCCCACCTCCCCAGGTAAGAAGGGGCTAGAAGCACTTCCTGGCCCTTTCATCAGTATCACTTAATCTCTGATTCACGGGGTTATTTATGGATCACACCGGCCCCTGCCTGCTATTAACTTGGATCACTTCATGGCTGCTTGCTGCTTGGCTAATGCACCCAGCCCTGTTGTTAATGTTGTTAATCATTTCTGAATGAGGCCTGGGCACCTGGAGAGGCACAGAGCCCTAATTTAAAAACGCCGAACGACCCAAAGGCAGCGTTGGCGCGGTGGCTCCTGCGAGTCACGCTCCCCTTTGTTATGAACAGAGCGGCTGAGATCTCTATAAACTGCCGAGCAAAGGGGCCGTAATTTACTGGGACAACACTAAAGAAACCTGCCTACTCTGCAGGTTCCTGCTCCTGGTTTGGTTCCCAAAGAGGGACTTCCCCACGCCTAACACCATCCTACAGGATGCCAGGGAAGTGGGACAAACGTGCCCTCCCAGGAAGCACTTAGCACTGCCCCTCCCCAGGGCTGAACTCCGGCTCCATCTTTCCTCCAGACTCTTAGCAGGCGTTAAAGGCAAACTTGGGACTCTCGGGTGTGGGTGAGGCCGTCATTAGAGCAAGGTGAGGACACAGGCATCTCTGTCAGTTCCAGGCTGCCTGAAACAAACCGTCCTTCTAACTGTGGGTCAGGGGGTGGGTTCTCTTATGAGCAGGCTGGGCCCCTCCGGGGTGACCTGGGGGTTAAGGTCTGCAGTCAGGATTCTGGGTTCGGATGCCTCTCTGATAATCACTGGCTGTGTGAGCTGAGACAATGAATCTTTCTGTGCCTCAGTTTCGTCATCTCTACAATGGAGACATTCATAGTATTTACTTGCATGCAGTAGCTATCTGTTGGAGGGTGTGGGCTACTCGGCTTCAAGCTCCTCTTTCCTGTAACAGTTCCCCCGTTTCATGGGGGATCACTCCTCCCCCACTCTCAGCCCAAGTGCTTTGGCCTCATGGGCGGAGCTGTGGCCCAGGTCTGCCCAGTGAGAGCCAAGGTGACTGGTTTGAGGTTGAGCATGTGACCTAAGTGGACCAATGAGAGAGATTTCTGGGGCTCTGCCTGGAACTACAAGGACAGGCAGAAAGAGGCACATCGGGGTCAGTAACATCAGCACCTGCACCCAGCCCCAGAGCCCAGTGTCTGCTACTGAATTCAGTTACCTGTGTTGCTGAATTCTCTTTTTATACACCAAAGGGCCTCACCAGGACCACGGTTTGGAGGTCAAAAGGAGTCCTCTTTTTGCTTACCAGAATTATCTGATGTTCAACAGCTGGTCAAAAATGAAATGTGGTTTGGGGCTGGGTGCAGCAGGGCAAAGAGGGGGGAAATCTGTAATACTGTCAACAATAAATAAAAAATATTCTATGTAAAAAAAAGGAATGGGGTTGTCTGAAAAGGGAGTGAGCTCTTGGTCTGTGAAGGCAATCAAGCAAAGGGCAAATGGAGCCCTTCGCAGGCCTGTTGTAGGGAGGATCTGTGCAATCCATAGAGCATGATGAACAGCCCCATGTGCACAAACAGTAAACACGATCTTACTTCAGGGACTAGGAGCTAAAAATACCGAGGATGATGGATGCTAATCCACTCCCTCTCTCAGAGCACACGCCAAATTAGCAAGCCCAGCGCTAAGCGATTCCAGGTGGCTCTCCTGCGGCCGAGGTGGGGGAGTGACAGTTGGGACCACACGCACACAAGGCATGTGGCTTGGTGTGGGGCAGAGATCAGGGAACACACAAATCCCCGGAGGAGAGCGAGAACGTTCACGAGAATGTTCTCATCTGGCTATTTTTAGATGAGGGGTTAAGTAGGAAAAGCATATTTTCACACAATGTTTTGTACTCAGAGCTCCCTGACCAACCTCCTGTCTAGGTCTCTGAAATGTATTCATATCCATCCACCCGCCAACACACACATACACACACACATACTCATTATACACACACAGACACATACACAGACACATATACACACACAGACACACACAGAGATACACACAGACACAGAGACACACACACATACAGACACACACACAGACACATACAGACACAGACATACACAGACACACACACAGTGACACACACATACACACACTCACAGACACACACAGGTGTCAGGTCTCTCCCGCTTTCCAGAGCACTTTTTGGCCTTTGTCTGGCTGAATCCTGAGGCTCATTCTCCCGCCCCTCCCCAAACCACCAGCATCCCTGGGTCTCTGGAGTCATTTCCAAAATTTTAATCAAAATAATGAAACCCTTTAGAAATGAGAAAAATCTACAAATGCCTAAATGTCGTTGCCTATGTTGCAATTCCTGATTTCAAAAAAGCCTCTTTTTGCCCCCCTCTCTCAAGTGCCAATATGCCACTGTCTTCATTCGCCTTTAACTTCGCCTTCATTTGCCTTTAACTTCACCTTCATTTATCACAGAAATGACTTAACGCTAACAGTTGGCCATCGATGGCTTCTTTCATCTGCCTGCGCTCCCGCACAGCCTCCTTCCCAGGCACAAGCGTTCACAGGTGACGACTGCACCGTGTGTGCGGATTAGGGTTCTTTGCCTCGCAGCGCGGTGTGGTGAACACCCCCACGCCGCCGGGCGGCCCCCCTCTCCTACGGTAACTGCACTTCATCGGCTGCCTGGGTGATGCTTTCCTCCAACATGTCCCCACGTGGCACTTGTAGGTAATATTTAAAATTTAGGTTAAAAATAACAGTGCAACCAGGATCCTCACACACAAAACCTTTCCCTCATCCTGGATTAGTCTGCAGCATAAATTCCTGGATGTGCAGTTACTGGGAGAAGGGACGCAGAGATCGTAAAAGAAACGTAGGCTGGGGACACTTAATATTCCCTGAACTGGCCCTGATGCAGGAGACGGTTGCTCCCCACTGAGCAGAGGGTCTCGATGAGGGCCCCTAAGACTCCCTCTTATCCACGCGATCCCACGATTCTAAAATCACGGTGCTAAAAGCCTCCTTGCTCTTAATTCAAGGAGGCCGGGTGCACGGCACGTGCAAGTGCACCCTGATGAACTGAACCGGCGGGGCAGGCTGTGTGCTGAGGGGGAGCAAACGGGGGGATGCTCACCCCACCACCCGGCAGACAGACAGACGGACAGGCGAGCATTCTCTTTCTGCCTTTTACGTGGCCCCGACCAGAACTGCTCTAACTATGAACAGATGCACAGAGAACCCACTCAAATCGGCAGCCGCACCCCCAGCAGCAAACCTATGCACAGAGCTGGAAGACTGGGATGGGAGACGACAGGTTGGGATAGAGGGGGGACGGTGGGAAGGGGGGGCAGGCCCAGCCTCAGCCCTGGCTGACGAGATGAGCCCACGTCCCGTGTGTCCAACGGGAAACAGGGAAATGTTTCTTGCTGATGTTTCCATTCTCCGAGTCCCCGGAGAAGGTGGATAATAAATAAGTGACAATAACAGATGGCACCCTGTCGGCAAGGGCACTCCTCTGCCCCCAGAGAATTGATTTTTAATAACAGCGCAGATGACATGTGGCGGAGTTGTCGCTGACACCGGCGTTTTGTGGGCCTCAATAAATCACATCAGCCTGGAGGCTCTGGAATGGACCAGGATCAGTGGGTGCTGTTTGCTGACTGCTCCTGGGTGCTGGGAAGGGTCCCAGGGCTCCGAGTTAGGAGGCTGGATCCTGCCACCCCTGACTGCCAGACCCTGGGCAAGTTACTTTACCGATCCAGGCCTCAGTTTCCCCGTCTTAAAAATGGGCACAAGCCTCTCAACCTCACAGCACTGTTGCAAAGGGTTACATGAGGCAATGGCCATGAAAAGCCTGTAAAACATGGTTATCACTATTATAGTAATAATGGGCCAGAAAGGTAAGAGGTTAGTAGGTTTGGGGCAGAGTGTCTGGCATCTCTGCTCTCATAGGAGCATCATTCAAAGGATCCTCCCTGTGCCAGATGAGAAGGCAGAAAAACCAGGGCCACCAGGCCTAGGGTGGGGCAGCAGGGAGGTGCCATTCCTGCTTTTGCAAGTGCTGATGTGAGAACAGCGATAACAAGTGAATACAGTGGCACCTCGGTTTTTGAACGTCTGTCGACAAACATTTCGAGTTACAAATGCCATAAACCCAGAAGAAATGCTTCAGTTTTCAAACATGCATCGGAAATCGAACATGCCACGTGGCTTCCCCTGAGGGCAAGATCCTGAGGCCCAGCTGTCGGCTGTGGATCCCTCGGTTTTCCAGCATTTCAGAGCTCGAACGGTCTTCCGGGACGGGTTACATTCAAAAGCCGAGGGACCACTGTATTTAGAAAGGGTTTTCTGTGGGCCAGAACTGCGCTAAGTGCTTTATATACAGTATCTCATTTAATCCTCATAAGAGCCTGAGGCAATTAGCCTTGTTATCTGATTTTGCGGATGAGAAGACTGGCAGCTGGGGGGAGGGGCAGAGCTGTGCCTGGGAAGCAGGTGGCTCCATCTCTCTCAGTGGGCTGGGTCCCCCATCTATGTGTAGGGCAGGGCCAGGCAGGTGCCACATGGTGACTGGGGGTGGGGGAGACAGAGGGGAGGGGTGCTCAGCCAGGTTCCTGGGAATGCAGAGGCAAATCCTGGAATGGCCAGGCCTCTCTGTTTTCAGGGAGAACGTAGAAATTCGGGTTTGCATGAGAAACCTCCTGATATTTAAATGTTGGCAACTACCTGAAACTTTGTTTTGTAAAAAAGATACTCTAAGAGCAGACTGTCCAAGTGTTAACTAAGAGCTGACTGTGAGCCATGGTCCTGAGCTTCCGCTTGGTCCTTGCAGAGGTTCAATGTGAGTGTCGCCCCTCTGAGGCCAGAGGGACCAACTGCAAAACAGTGATCCTCAAAACAGCGGCTCCTTGCCGCACACGTGCTCTGCTGGTGTGCGGAACATAACCGCATATCCTAAGCCTCGAAAGGGAGGTGCCCCCGATCCCATTTTACACGTAAAGAGCTAGAAACTCAGAGGGTTAGTGACTTGCTCAAGGCTCCCCACGTGGCCGTGGGCTGGAACTGGGAATGGCCGGTGCTTTCCTCCCCCTTCAGCCAGTGAGGGTGCTGGGCGCGGGGGTTGGGAAGGGTGAAGCGGGCGTGGGACAGAGGGGCTCTGGGACCGCCCGCTGCTACCCAGGGCCGGGCAGGGCTCGTACTCACAGCACTCGCAGGGACCGCAGCCCGTTGAAGGCGTGGGCAGGGATGCAGCGCAGCCGGTTGTAGCTCAGGATCCTGCGGGAAAGGGCACGGTGCGCTGCCGGGTCTCCCCCTCGGGGCTCCCGGCTCTCCCCCCTCGGGGCTCCCAGCCGCAGGGGCAATGCTAACGGCGCATCTTCCCCATTTGACTGGACTGGCAAACGCACCCGAACGCTGAGGGGAAGAGAGCCGCCTCCCCCACCCCAGGAAGCCCACTGGCTTCTTGTGCCGGTTCCTTCCAGGTCCCTTGGCAGGCTGGCTCCCCAACCAGCGTTACCATCACCCCCTCCGCTGTCCAGTGGCGAGTGTTCACCAAGAGCGGAGCTCATGGGACATGAACGGGGCTGAGCAAAACGTAATTGTGTAGGGAAGCCTTCCGCTGGGAGAGATTCACAAAGCAGGAAGGTATTCCAAAGAGGCCTCCTTCAGCAGCTACGGGGTGCAGGTCCTGTCCGACTGCCCCGGCAGTGGAGCCCAGACCTGAGTTATTTTCCTTCCGATGATTAAGGTCTGCCCTGTGCAGGGGCAGCCACAGCCCCGGGGATCACTGGAGCAGAGGAGCTGGGCCTGAGGGGTGGGGGAAGGATGGCACAGGGCACCTCACGGCACTCACAGGGTGGAGAGGTGAGACATGTTACTGAAGGTGTAGTTGGTCAGCACGCCAATGCTGTTGTTGCTCAGGTCGCTAGGAAAAGGGAAACAGAAGGGTCATATTTACTGTTAGTTGCATCGGAGGGGGTCATTTCCAACTTTCACACATGTCTGCCATCCATTCTCCATCCATCCTTCCATCCATCCTTCCTTCCATCCATCCCCGCCCCCAGCTGAGGAGGAAGGTGGCGCGAAGGCCAGCAGTGAGGCGCCAGGCATTTCTGCACGTGGTTCTCACTGGGTCAGGCAGGTTCCTGCCAGCTGTCTTTCTCTGCCGGGCCCCGGGAGGGACAGCAGGGGGGCTGTAAGCCTGCAGGACCGGCCACCCTCACTCTCCATGTCTCCTGAGCTTCCCCAGAGAGAAAACGAAACGTCCAGCCCAAGCTGGGCTCCTTACATAAGAGTCAGGTGTCGGAGGGCGGACAGCTCCTTGGGCACGGCTGTTAAGTGGTTTCCTTCCAGGTACCTGAAAGAGAGGCGCAGAGTGACACTGGCAGAGACACCTCACACACTGTCATTTCCCCAGAGAAGCCGCCCCCGACTTTCTAGACTGGGTTGGTCCCGGCTTACTCTCTCATAGCCCCCCCAAGGCACACCCTGTACTCGTTGTTTAAGGTTTATCTGCGTGATTACTCAGCCGGTGGTGGTTTTCTCCACTGGACTGCTATTCTGAACCACGATGTCGGGGGCTCTTGTCTCAAACGGTCTGGTGCTGATTGTCCCCAAGACCGTGTACAGCAGGTGCTGTACAAACAATAGGCCCACTCTGCACCAGCCTTCACAACACGTGTACCCAGCAGGGGTTCGCAGTTGAGGAAGCAGAAGCTCAGAGATGTTAAAACATTTGCCCAAGGTCACACAGCAAGCAAGTGGCTTATTGTACTCCTACTGCAGTCCCTTGCGGCCTCTTGTCAGCATGCAAAGGCAGGTGCAGGGCCTGGAGCATGGACACCAGGACACATACTTCTGGGGCCTCTGGGTCCACTGTGCCAGTTCCCCTGGGTTCCAGCTGGGCTCTGAAGGGTGCTGATGCTGATAGGATCAGCCTCTCTTCCTGCTTAAAATCCCTCCCTGGATTCCACTGCTGGTTAGAGAAGGGCTATCTATCTATCATCTATC